CGCCTGCTGGCGTTTGTTCAGAGCCGACGCCATGTCGTCCAGTCTGGAAGGAGGAAGCGGTTCGGGCGGAGGTTGAAGATCGGGGAGCGGCAGAACGTGCACGAGAGCAGTACGCGCGGGGAAAGGGGGCAGGACGGACGGCAAGAGGGCGCGTAGCTAAGATTACCAGAGAATGAACAAGTCCATCGCAAAGCAAAACATGAGCACAGAAAGGGGAGCTCGTAGGGCCCTTAGTTGACACGCGCGATGACGAGTAATGCATCCGTTCCACTTCACACATGGCATCCGCACAAGCTCCAGAACCCTGCGTTTTTGGTCTATATACGGCATCATGCCCCTGTCTGAGCTTGCTGCCCTCCGCCCAAAAGTACATCATCGACCTCCCAACCCGATGGGCGTGGAACAGCTTACGACAGCGCATGAACGACGTGCAGGCTTGGTGGCGCGACTCGTAGACGCTGCCGATCTGGTTTTGGTAAGGCCGAGGCCGTCTTCGTTGCCGCAGATACGATCCAAGGCTGACAGACATTGCCGTCGTCAGCTCTCTGGTACTCTAGAGAAGGAATCTTCCCAGCTAGTCAAGCACACGCAAAGAGCACGTTCGAAACTCTCAACACTATTCAAGAGAATGTATGGTCACGCAGGTGGCTTCAAGCAACATAGAAATCGTAGCAAAAAGCCTAAAAGTGCCAGGTATTGTTCTAGTGACGCAAATATGACAACTATAGAGATGAAGAGCTCAGTATAGCCGTTGATTAATCGTCCATTGTGATTTTGTGAATATGGAAGGAAAGCTGAGGCCGAGCTGCGACGAGCTTTTCAGGCGCGCGGGCAGCGCCAAGCCATGCTGACAAAGACGGGGGTCCGAGCGGGCTGATTCTTCACACGTAAAACCAAGCTCTGGCTCGTTCTTCTGCTCATCAACAACCTCGCGATGCACAGCTTGCGGCACGTGCTCGACACCGAATGATTCAATGTTTGTCGTTCTGGGAGTCGTCGCTGCTGTGCGCGTTGTATGCTACTACCCCACTCTTGCCTGCTCCCTGGCTCGTCTTCATGGCCAGGAAGCAACTTTTCTCTCTGTGGGAGATTAATATTGGTTTTTAGCAGAGCCGTGTCTTCTCCACCCTACCCATATTCTTCTGTGGATGTGTAGGACTATAATTGGACATACATACTTCGTCAGTTCATACTCTGTGCTGGTCGTTGTGACGATCTGAGCTTTGATGTGCAGTGGACGCTGTGCCTGAACGATCTTCCGAGATGATCAGGCACATGGCAGCTCCCGTTGATCGGGCTTCGAGCTTGAGCACGCATTCGGCTGGTATGGTCTTGCCCTCGTCTACGTTTCGTGGTCGACCGCATCTCGTGGAATCAGCCATCGATGAGCACAATCTCAGGGCAACACCACAACGTGTCATCATGACACGTTGAATACTGGACCAAGCTGGCCAGCTGAGACGCCTGCACTCATGCATTTGGAGGCTTCTATCTCCAAGTCCAAGCAATAATGTACATATCCATTTCTGCGCTTCCTCCTTCGACATCCACACCAATACTGCGCCTCATAGATGCGCCTTTGATACCTCATCCCCTCGGAACCGTTTTGGCCAGATACCCTGCTTACCAGGCGACAGTATACCATTAGGATCGACGGCGTCTTTGATCGTCTCGACGAACCTTCGATACGCATGATCGTTGAAATCATACAGCGAAGCGACACGATCTGGGTAAGAAGTTAGCGACTGACAGGCAATCTCGAGGCAGAAGATATAACACATACCCATGGTGTTGACGTGGCTGCGATACTTGCTGTATCCCCTCTTCTTACCCGCCTCGAACAGGCCATCAAAGATGTTCTGCACCGCTTTCCGATGCATCGCGTTCGTCTTGTCAAACGTGAACATGTTGACGAAAATGACTAGATAAGGTATCGACGTCAGTATATGTCATCATCCACCGCTTAAGAGTCCGATCTTACCATGACGCTCATGCATAAAGAAGTCACAGAACAGATCAAAGTTATCTTTCTCGCAGATCTTCTTCGCCGTCCTGACCCAGTCCAGAATCTCTTTGCCCTTGGAAGGTATAATAGGGCTGTAGTCGTAATGCGCACCAATGCCACCCCCAGACTTTGGCAGGCGGAACTTCACCATAGGAAGCGACCAAAGCGTGGGTATACCAACGAAGAAACCCCCATCCATCTCAGGAACAGACGTAGGATCCAACGTCTCTCCATCCTTTGCAGAAAAGATCTTACCAACCAACCTTCCCTTCGGCGCTTTCTCCCCAATAATCTTCCTCAGCTCGTCGAAATGCGCTTGAATCACATCCCTCGCGCCATACAGGCCGAACTTGGCATTCCAATACCCTAGATCGAACTGCTTCTGCAACTCCTTGATCCTCCAATCCGGTATCGAAGTGTCGTGTGGCCAAAAGTCTTCTCTCGGACCCATCATGCCCAGCCACTCGGTTACGTTGGAAACATAGACGGTGTTGGGAAGCAGACCATCTCGTCGCAACGGCCCGAAGATATCGACAATCGTTTCCACGTCTTCGAAATCCGGCATGTCGAACGAGCAGGACATGAAGGCTTGGGGTGCGGGTGTGAGCCAGATACCTAGTTTAGTCACGATACCGAGGTTGGACTGCAGGAACAGGCCTTCGATACTAGGTCCGAACGAGAACTTGGAGAGGTGCGCGGATGGGGAGTTGGACATGGCGAACTGGCCTGTTCGGACGAGGTCGCCGTTCGCCAACATGGCTTCCACGCCGGCGATGTGTTGGTGGTGCGTCCCTGTGGGTGTGAAGCCTGTGCCGCGATCGATTGTGTTTCCGATGACTGAGCCCCAGCCGAGAGAGGGCACCGAAGGCCAGACGTTGAGCTTGTTCTTAACGCAGTAGTCGTAGAGATCGGTGAATGTGACGCCTGGTTCGACGACGGCGTACGCGTATTCGGAGTTTACTTCTATGATCTTGTCCATGCGGTGGAGATCGAGGGCTACGCAGCCGGTTACGCGAGGGGCGGGTCCGCCGTATCTGGTTGATGGTTAGATGGCTTGTAGCTGGTTTGTACGTGGGAATGTACTGACCCGAGATTCTTTCCTCGTGAGAACGTCCATACTGGAATGCCGAACTCGTTCGAAATCTTCAACACGTCTCGTAACTCTTCGATGTTCTTTGGTCTCACGGCTGCACTGGGCATCTTGCGAGTTCCTTCCGCTTCATGCAGCTCGTACGGATCGATGTACTCCGTCAGTGCATCACCTGTATACACCTGCGCATCACCAACAACACCCTGGTATCTCGCAATTGCCTTGTCAAATGCATCTCGGTCAACACCAGGCGGCAGCACCGACTTCAATGGAACAGTGATAGAGTCTTTAAAGAGGTTGAAATGCGTGGACTGGTATTCCGGGTCGATGTACATTGGTGAAGGCGTCATTGTGAAAGATGTTTGACAAGTGTTGCGAGGAGATGATCTAGATCTCCACGATACTCTGTCATTAATGTATCCTGCAGGAACGGGCTCTCCCGGCTAGGTGAAGACATGGGTGCCGATGCGCTAGTTGACATGTGTGAAGGTGTCGTTCCCCACATTGCGGAGAACCTTTGGAAGACCCCACATCTACCCTTCCCCAACGTTTTCGGGCCTTATCGTGCCGTCACTCCTCTGGACGAGAGTCTGGCGTTTCCAGAACGAGCGCATCTAAGATGTCTACGATGCAAACAGGACAAGAGGTGCCGGAGAAAGTTTTTAGCGTGATCCGTGTTTTGCGCTTCCAGAGCGCCTGCTGCATGTACGTTTTGGCCGCGTGATCAGCAGTCTTCGCAACTTGACAGCTTTCACTCCAAGATAAATGAGAGATGTGGTTTCTGGCATGAATTATGAAGCAACTTGTTGCAAGCTGGAAGAGGGAAAGGCCGGCTGCATATACTGACAGGCTTGTCATCTGCCGCCTGTATGCATGATCAGTCCGACCCGCCTAGGATACTTCCAGTCGCCGTTTGAAGTTCTGCGTGATAACACACGCCTTTCAATCATCTTCTGCCGGAATGCCTCCTCGAAGATGCCTGTGATCGATGACTTTGGACGAACAGCAGTTATACCGTCCATCGTCGCATTAAAACATGCCACCAAGACACACCGTGTAAACACACGTTCCGAACCTCACCACCTCAATCCCGTCTTTCTCTCCCAAGTCGTTACGATAGGTGTAGCTTTCAGCTCCGGAAAATTCTCCCTGTGCGAGAAGGCCAAGCGACGCATGACGCGTTCAAGTAGAGCACGTCGCGTCATCTCTGGGTGTTTGACTTTATCGCAAAGACTGTCAATCTGCAAGCAGTCGATGTTGGCAGCTCCTACAGATGCCTGTTCGTCTATCAGTTTTGTTCAGTGTACTAAAGCAGGTAGGAGGTTGTACCTCGGAGATACCGCGTCGCTGGAGAGTTCGTAAGATGACGTTCCACATCTCAGATCCACTCAGCGCGGATACAACGGGCCAGGAGCCGAAGAGAAGGTTGAGGACAGCTGGCACCGACTAGGTGAATGTGTTAGTCTCTAAAAAAAAGGCCAGGTTGTAGGTGAACCTACTGGAACGATGTGGGCGAAGACGAAAGGCATGGCCTTCAATTCAGGGAAAGCGCTCGGCTCCGCGATGACCCATGGAACAAGAGCCGCTTCAATATCCTTCTTGATTCTCATGAAGCTATAATGAGATCCGGGTTTCGGGAAGGCATTGGCGATAGTGTTTTGGAGCTCAGACGTTGTACGAGTCTTGTTCGCGCCACCTAAGCCACTCACGACTATGCGCTGCAGCGTTTCAGCTTTAGTCAGTACGATTGTAGGGAAGAGACTTACATCTGCGGAGATGCGATGTCTTAGGTTGCTAATGATTGTTTGCGTGATGCGGACAGACTCACTCATGCATTCAGTTGCATTCAGACTGTCCGATCCCCAGAGCAGACTGAGTACTGGCATACCGAAAGCCTATCATAGGTCAGCGCAATGATGTTTTGCTAGCACCGAGATCACTCACACTGTCGAAAGTACCATTGCTCTGAGGTTCCGATTGAGTATGCCCGTCTGCTGCTTCTACGCTGGACAGTGGCCGGCCAGTGTCTCGTGCTTCCGTGCATGCTCGGAGATAGGCAGCTGTTGCTTCATCTGTTGGATCGGCCAACTTTTCACTTGATCCCGCTGCTGACTCTTCTTTGACGACTGTCTTCTCAACAGCGATCGCGGCATTAGTTGCACGTCCCTTCGATTGGTCCGAACTACTTGATGATATTTTCGTGCTCTTCCCAGTCTTCTTGCGAAATTCGACCGGCGCTGGAGTGGCACGAGTGATCTGCCGGTCAACACTTGAACTCGCAACATCTTGTCGTACTAGCATTTCGCGATCGCCGTTGTAAAGCTTCTGTAAGCTCTCAACCCACTTCTCGAACTCATCCTGCGGCATACCATCAAGCAATGCCTGCATCTCACATCGTGTCTCTTTCCGCGATGCTTGCGATCCAAGCTTCCGTCTCGTAATAGGTAGCGCATGATAAGCAAACAAGTCGCTCGTGCGTGGAAACGCTTCAGCCACGTCTTCATCTGCAAGCTCTGTCGCTTCGACGTTCCACTTCCATTTGGAGGAGATCTTCTTGTCTTTAGACTTCAGAATCGTGTGTTTGTTCGAGGCCGCGGATAGATCGGCATTCATTTCAACGTCTTCCGTAATGTCATCCGGGGTGGTCGAGCGCACGCATTGTGCCTTCTTGTCGCGTTTCTTGTGTTTCTTCGCTTTCGCGATTGGCGCAGGCTCCTCATCAAAGACATCGTCGGTGCTCAAATCTCCGTCGCTGTTGTCTTCCTTGCGTGTCGCCTTACCGCTGGCTAGCCATTCCGTGGAGTGTTCTGGGGCTCTTGCTTTCGATTGAAGCAAGTTAGCAGTGACGTGACCTAAAATATCTTCTCCAATTCCATCCCCACGAGCTCTTGCGCTCGCGATTAACACGGTCTGTAGTACCCAATCGACTTCAGCAGCCGAATGAAGATGTTTAGCGACCATTGGAACCATGCGCTGTATCATCTCAGTGCGAAAGATCTCCAACATCTTGCGTATGTTGGCCTCCGGAGCCTTCTCTTCACGCATGTGTTGTTGCAGAACTTGCGGCCCTAGTTGATCCAGAATGTTGTCCGGGAAGCATATACGAACTAGTCCTTTTACCGCATTCTTGAAGACTTGACTGCCAAGATCTGTTGCAGACGAGATAACTTGGACACGAAAGATCCAGTCATCTCCGGTGGGTAGAGAGAACGCTCTGTCTGGCTTCGGCGCTGGGTATCCGTCTTTGATCGATCCAGCGCGGGAGGATTGAGCTTCACGTTCAGCGTATGGAGAGCGGCCCGGCGTGCTGGCTGCAGATACACGCGCGCGTTTCGAAGCTGTGTCGCGGACCGGGGATCGCGACTTCTGCCAGTTGTTAGTCCAGATGCAAGTGAGGTACAGCAGCGTTTTTACTTACTCGTCGCTTCTTGGTTTCGCTCGCCATATTGTTGAATTTGAGAGGATTGAGAGTCAAATGGCACGTACGATTCGAGGTGGAGGACAGATGGCGGGGTGGGGTGAAGATTCGGCAGTCGCGACAGGTGAAGTGAGAGCAGGAGCAGAGACCACGTGGGAAAGCACTCAAGTCGCGAAAACAACGCGTCGTATCTCCATCATCATGCAATTCGAAAGTAGCCTCATACATCTTGGGAACAAAGATCAACGGGTAACACTTGGCAAGTATAACAATTCTCATGGATGGGATTGTTGATCTATCTCTCACTCTTACCAACCTTCGAAGTGTGCCTCAAATGAGGACATCAATTCACGGTGCCTGCAGCACAACCTCAAACTCAAAAGGCACGCACAGCAAACTATACTCATCCAGCGTCCTTGGCCCACAACTCCCACTCCCCAACCCATGATGTTCCGCATCCAACCTCAGCACAACCTCCTCCCTCTTCTTCCTCCTCAACTCATGCGGATGGTCCGCAGCCGCAACATCCTTCATCCTATAATGGCTAACCTGGAAGTCAAACAACTTCCTCTGCCCACCCTTCTTATCCGCGAACTGAGCGAGCAATCCTGCGCCGCTATCATTCGTAACGCTAACATAACGGGTATCTGTGCGGTTCGCCGATTCTTGGGGTACTTCGTAGTCGATCCAGAGGGCGTCGATGCTGGAGGCTGTGTATTTGCCTACGGGCTGGGAGAGCTTGCTGTCGCGGTAGGTCTCGCCGAAGCCGCGGCCGAACCATTCGACGTGTTGGAATTGCGCGGGGAGCTCCATGACGAGGCCGATGCGGGGGAGCGTGCGGGGTAGGTTCTCGCCCTTGGGTGTGACGGTGACGTGGACGGATAGGGTGCCGTTGGCGCTGAATGTGTATGTGAGAACGCAGTCGATGGACCATGAGAGGACTGGAGGCGCGACGCGTTGGTGCACAGTGATCTTGAAAGTCTCAGAGCCCGACTGAGACCACTCGACTCTGCGGGTCAATGGCTTTGCGTGGTGTAGTTGCTTGTCCTTCCAGTCCCAGCCGTCTTGCGGGATGTCGTTGTCGGTAGGTGCACGGAAGATGTCCATTTCAGGTGCTTTGGAGATGAGCTCAGTCGAGCCTTGCTTCCAGGAGGTGAGACTGCCGTGGAGCGTGTTGAACTCCCAGGTGGCTTGATCCGTCGTAATCTTGAGGGTGTTGCGGGATGGTGTCTCAACAGTGACTTGCTTGCCTGATGATTGAGGCTTCTTCAAGGACGACATCGGAGTCACAGGTACCTGTGCTGTTGCGATCTCGAATCCTGCCTTTAGGTATGGTGTAGCCTCCTTCAACTGGAACGAGATACTAACCAAGACCTCCTCCTCGCGAGCTTCGATCGTTGGAAGTTGCACCTCGAAGGTTTGGCCAGGCAAGATACCAGAAGGAATTTGCAGATCTCCAGTAACCCCATCAGAGGATGAAGAGGAGACTGATGTGTATTTGCAGACCAAGTGATCGAGCGTGATGAAATCGTACCGGTTGATGAACGTCGCCTTTGAACCATTCACTTCTAGAAGCTGTACAGGCTCGATAGCCTTCTTGTACTCGATTAAGCCAGCGTTGGGCGAATGATCAGAGTTGACAAGACCGTCCATGACGAAGGTGGAGTCGTGAACCTCTTCGCCGAAATCACCACCATAGGCGTAGAATTCTTCGCCGGTCTGCTTGTCCTTGGTGAGAAGACCGTGGTTCGCCCATTCCCAAGCGAAACCTCCCTGTAAAGTTGGGTACTTGTAGAAGGCATCGATGTACTCTTTGATATTACCGGGGCCGTTGCCCATGGCGTGGATCTGATATGTTTAGTCTTGGTGCCACAGTCGAGCATGGTAGATCTTACGTATTCACAAAGCACCAGTGGCTTCTTCTTTTCCTTGTCTTGACCAAATTTGATGATCTCGTCAAGCGGAGGATACATCCTGGAGTACATATCCATGGTGTCTGCGTAAATGTCCGCTTCGTAGTGAATAGGCCGGCTGTCGTCGTACTTCTTGATGTGCTCGTACATGGCCACGAAGTTTCGACCCATGAAACCCTCGTTGCCAAGAGACCAGATGATGATCGATGGATGCATCTGGTCTCTCTTGACGAGTGCTTCTGCACGGTCCACATACGCCTTCGTCCAATCTGAGTTGTCGGTCGTCCATTCCGCGGCCTTGTCCCTAGTTATAAGCTGACGCTCACGGAACGGCAAGTTGCGCTCCTCCTTCGAAAGCGCGGCATCGGCGATACTCTCAAAGCCGTGGCATTCCACGTCTGCTTCATCGATGACCCAAAAACCCATCTCGTCTGCGAGGTCGTACAGTCGTGGGTCGTTGAGCTGATGAGATGTGCGGATGGCGTTGATGTTGTGACGCTTCATGAGAAGGAGATCCTCTTTCATAAACTCATAAGGCACAGCACGACCAAGAGTGGGATGATGTTCATGGCGGTTGACGCCGCGGAAAACGACTCTCTTACCATTGACTTTGATCAAGCCATCTTTCATCTCGACTTGTCTAAAGCCAATGCGTTGGGCAATAACTTGATCGCCGGAAGAGACGACAAGATGGTAGAGGTTTGGCGACTCAGCAGTCCACTTGAGCGGGTCCTTCACCTGGATACTGAGTTCAGTCACACCATCACCCTTGATATCCGCCTCGGATGAGGCGACTTCTTGCTTCTTTGCGTCCAGCAGCTTTACTGCAACCTTGCCAGATCCAGTCGCACTGATCTTGACTTTGAGTTCGGCATCAGTGTAGGATGAATCCAGAAGCGTCTGGGCAAAGACGTTCTCGATTCGGGAAGCCTTGGGGAAGCCAACCAGGAAGACGTCACGGAATCTGTAGTAATGAGTATGAGTTCATCTCGACGACAGACCATACTCACATGCCACTCAGCCACCACTGGTCTTGGTCTTCGATGTACGTTCCGTCACAATGCTGGTACACCCTAACAGCCAGGGTGTTCTCAGCATTGAGATCGACGAACGAGGTAATATCAAACTCATCAGGGTTTCTGCTACCCTGAGAATAGCCAACCTCTTTACCATTCACCCAGACGTGGAAAGCGGCGTCGACACCTTCAAAGCGGAGTCGAAGCTGACCGTCCTGGAGATCTTTCGGGACCTTGAACTTACGAACGTAGGATCCAGTCTCGTTCTCGGTAAAAGGCACGTTGGGAGGATCAACCGGAATGTGATAGATTACGTTGGTATATTGCGGGCCTTTGCCGAAGCCCTGCAGCTGCCACATGCCTGGCACGGCAATGTCGCTCCATGATGATGTGTCGAATGTGGTCGATTCAAATCCTTCCGGAGCCTCAAAAGGCGAGTATGAATGCTGGAACTTCCACGTGCCGGAGAGGCTGTGGGTTGTAGACTTGTTCACATCGGAACTAAGCGCATCAGCCCCCGATGCGTAGTTGTGAAAGTATGCGCGCGCAGGCAGCGTGTTCTTGTGGAGGACATCGAGGTTGTTCCAGTCTGGAACGCTCGCTGGGTGTTGACCTGAGGACATGATGGATGAATTGAAAGTTGATGGTACTTCCACGAACCACTGCTCTACGTCCTCTATCTTTGATACAGTTGTCGACACCCCACAGTAAGGCGGCTGTACTGCGGTCGCCCGCGCGACTTGGACTGATCAGGGAAGCCGTCCGCCCACATGTCGTAGACGCCAAGGGGACCATCCGTCTGCTTCTCAGGTGACAGGACTAAGGAACGTGTCGGCAATAAACGGCGCATGTTGCATGTTGGAGCTGGGAAGGGCTCGCATCGGGGGGTTGATGGGGCGACGTCCGGGCGCAAGCGCGAGCGGGCCCCGGGTTCTTCGCTTGATCACTCCGACTCCGTTGAAGGGAACCTTGGAAAACTTTAGACAGGAGCCTTGCAGCTTGTAATAATCTCAGAACGCGATTCTGTAACACGTTGAGACGATGCAGGTTTATTAGCTATCTTACCATTGTATCCTGCAGAGGTCGGTGTCCAATCTTCCCTTTGACTGGGGTGATCAACGGGGCGGCTGCCCAACTCGGCTGGCTTTACTCCAGGAATCCATCCCCGCACTCCGCTGCCCAGCCCAGCTACACCACATTTACCCTCGCCTGGTTCTTCGCGATTCAATGCCAAACCGACCGGCTCAATTCTTGATTCATCTCCTTCGTAAAGACTTCGCGCGTGGCGCTCCAGAGCTGGTACAATTTGGGAGGTCCGTCCGCTAACCGGCCTGCTTCTGGACCTGGGCCCGCCCCTGCAGAAGGCCCTATTACTTGGCCTTGGTACCATCGTGGTATAGCGAGCTTGGAAGTTGAAAATTTCCCAGTAATCCCGCTAATATTCCGCCCCTAATGCGGTGCTATTGCCGTACAACAAGCATACTTGGCCAACCGGGTGGCGCCTGAGCGCAACAGTTTGCATGCAGAGCAGAAACCATGCATCGGGTCAGGAAGGTAGAGCAGATGCCTCGGTGCCATGGGGTAAGATTACCTGCAGGCGCTACTTGTTTTGCGGAGAAGCCTGTATACTATAAAGAGACCCAGTATTCCGGAAAGCTTGCGCATCGTTGCAAATCGGCCATCAAGTGGAGAGCTTTCCCGTTCTTCTGCTCCACACCTCCAGATCTTCTCCAGTCCTTGCCAGCGACACATTCAAGATGGCGGAGAAGAGCGAAGACATGGGCGCCGTGACGCACCAGCTGAGTGCAGTTGACGATGACATGAACAAGCATGCAAACGTCAAGGAGGCCAATGTCGCTTCGGTAGCTCTCAGTAAGTCAAAGTTACATCTGAGATAACGGGAAGAATGCGCTGACAGCATACAGCCGCTGCTATCGAGGCAGAGAAGCCAAAGCTATGGTCTCGTGGCATGATCCAGCTGTACATGATCATGGGCGTTGGGTACCTCGTCTCTACGCTTAACGGCTTCGACAGCTCCCTCATGGGATCCATCAACGCGATGAAAGCCTACCAGAAAACATTCGGGCTGACTGGCGAGGGATCCAGCACTGGCATCATCTTCATCATCTACAACCTTGGTCAAATCGCCGCCTTCCCATTCTGTGGATTCCTTGCTGATGGCTACGGTCGTCGTATCTGCATCGCCGTCGGCTGCGCGCTCGTCCTCGTCGGAACCGCCGTTCAAGCCACAGCCCACGAGATGGGACATTTCATTGCCGGTCGCTTCATCCTCGGATTTGGCGCATCCATCGCGTCTGCTGCTGGCCCTGCCTACACCGTCGAACTCGCGCATCCTGCCTACCGTGGAACCATGGCTGGTATGTACAACAACTTCTGGTGGGTCGGCAACATTCTGGCTGGATGGACCACGTACGGCACCAATCTCCACATGGGCAACTCTTCGTGGGCTTGGAGAATCCCAACTATCGTTCAGTGCATTCTGCCTACTATCGTCATGGGCTTGATCATGTTCTTCCCAGAAACGCCGCGTTGGCTACTAGCCCATGACCGCAGGGAGGAGGCCATCGCCATCATGGCCAAGTACCACGGAAACGGCAACCCCAACTCTCCCATCGTCCAGCTCCAGCTACACGAGATCACCGAGGACTTTGCTGTCACTCGCAACGACAACCCGTGGTGGGACTTCCGTGAGCTAGGCAACACCAAGGCTGCACGCTACCGTCTGGCCATGGTCATCGCCATGGCTTTCTTCGGTCAATGGAGTGGTAACAACGTCGTCAGCTACTTCATGCCAGCCATGGTCAAAAACGCTGGAATCACTGGTAAGTTCTGAATATACAGATACGTCCGAGACAATCACTAACTTGTCAAGATCCCAACAAGCAACTTCTCATCAACGCCATCAACCCAATCTTCAGCATGTTAGCCGCCATCTACGGCGCCACCCTCCTCGACCGACTCGGTCGCCGAAAGATGCTCATGGGCGGTCTCTGGGGCGGCCTCTTCGCCTACGTCCTCCTCACAGCCTTCACCGCGACCGCGACCCCCGACAACAACCTCGCCTACGGCACCATCGTCTCCATCTACCTCTTCGGCATCTTCTTCGCCTGGGGCTGGACCCCCCTTCAAACTCTCTACGCCGTCGAGTGTCTCGAAAACCGTACTCGCGCCAAGGGCTCCGGTCTCAACTTCCTCTTCCTCAACGTCGCCATGGTCGTCAACACCTACGGTATCTCCGTCGGCATCGAGAAGATTGGCTGGAAGTTGTATCTCGTGTACATTGTGTGGATTTGCATTGAGATTGCGCTTATCTTCTTCTTCTTTGTTGAGACGGCTGGCAAGACGCTTGAGGAGCTCAAGGAGATCTTTGAGGCGCCTAACCCGAGGAATGCTAGTTTGAAGAGGGCGAAGGTGGAGATTGATGAGTCGGGGCATATTCATAATGTGCATGAGTAGGGGCAGTGTAGGTGCTGGGTTGCGTTATGATAGAACGAAGTTTGACTTGAATGTAATGATATTTGACGACCTGGGTCTCCTTGTAAGAATCCAATCGTTTGAACAATATCCATCTTTCAATCTGATGAAAACCGCGTGATTTTGCTTATCTCTTGATAATTGCCACCAGTATAGATGCTCGTGGCAAAGGTAAGAGTAAAGGTACTTTCTACTTACGTAGCAAGCTCTACAAGACGCTTTCTAAATGTTTACGAAGATCTGAAACAGTCATGTCGTATACAACAGCATCAATGCCCTTTATCAAGAACGTCTTCTCTCAGTTTGTATCAATCTCCCGCCACATTACTCCACCGTTTCATCTCCTCAGCCCATGCATTACCACCAATCAACCCCACTCCCCACACCTTCCTATTTGGTCTTCACACTGCCTGCACCATGCTTGCCACATCTCACACAACGCATCCGATCTGCTCAATCAGGGTACCTAAAACTTCCTCATGCGACAACGACCCCTCTGCTCGTTCCATCCCCAAAGGCGGCACCAGAACCCCAACCTATCTGGCCGCATCCGTTGGCAGAAAAGAGGGTCCGCAACAGCATTCTCTCACGTGACACATATCTGCATGCAACCATTACTTTTTGTGACACCATTTCTTCTTCGCCTTCACGCCTCACATCACACCCATCACCCTGATCCTCCCCGCGGAGCATAACCACGATGCCGGCCAGTATCGGCCTAACAAACAGGGTAATCTCCAGATAAATAGGACCAACGTACTATCTGCCAGCCACACTGAACGATTTTTGTTTTGCACATTTGCTTTTCTCCACGATGTGCGGTGAAGCGTTGCCACGCGTTTGGTAACGAGAACAATAGTCGATCAACATTGTCTAGGTAAGCGAGAGTGACAGAAAACGCTCGCGTAGAAGGAGGGTAGGACCGAAAGAAACGGTACGTTAGTATTCAGCGAGCGGTTGGGGAACCGTAGTTCATGTCGCCACGCTAGGTTTTGGGTACGAACATGTGAGACTTGGCAGAGACGTGAGAGGGATACGACAGTGGCGTCTGGCTTGCATGTTCCCTCTTTTTGAGCAGGCGCAAAGGAACAAAAAAACAAGATCACGTCCGAAAGCGTGTGACATGGGAAAACGTTGTTTGATGCATTGGCTTTTTTGGATGTCTCGTTCCTTAGCTTCATGCTTTCTCCGCACTTTCATCTCAAGCCACCACGCACGTCTTTTCAGCTTCTTATCCAATCTCCATTTCGTCTACCGCGGCTGCAGCTCGCTCTTTTCTAATGGCATCTTTCTTTGCTCTCCGTGCGGCTGCTCTTGACATGCCCTTGCCACTGCCGATCTTGCGGTACGCGTCCAAGGACATGCCTATGCGCTCCGCGGCTGCCATCTGGGCTTGCAGTGTCTTGTCTTCCGATATGTCCATCTTGGGGTTAGCCACTTTTCTTTCTTTGCGTGCTTGCATCCTGGCGAGATTCTGGCGGGTGCGTTTGTCTAGACAAGGTTTAGCATGACGGTGGAGTGGACGTTTGAGGGTCTGTTGGAGAACTCACTCATTTTCTTGCCCACGGGGTCGGAATCAATGGCCATAGTTTGGTCGCCGTTGGCTTGCTGGACCGGGCCTGCATCTTGTTAGACTCGCTCACCCCGGTCGCACGTGCCAAAAGCAAGTGCGCGTGGGATCAATAGACGTTAGATCGTCATATCTACCACGTGACATACCACTCTGCAGGTCGGCTTGGGGCGTCGAGAAGGCGTCGCCCAAGACGTCGACTAACTCATCGGCCAATGCGCCCATCTTGCGTCGGTCCTTTTGCTTTTTCTTCTTTGACTTGGTCGCAGGCGCCTGGCCGTTTGCTCGCCTCGGGGAAGCGCTTCGCTGGCTCGTCTGTGATTGGTCGCTGTCGCTTGCATCTGAAAATTGTTCCTCGTCGCCCAACCTGAATCCTGTGTTTGCGACAACGGGCGTGTTCGCAGCGGCAGCGTCTGCTTCGGGCAAGGTGGGCGCCATGTTGCTTTGTGGACTGCCGAATTGAGGATAATGCAGATGCAAAGGTTGGCTGGACATCAGAAAAGGTAAGAGCAAGGGATCGGCAGAAGGTTTATCCGGCGCATGTGATTTGTCCGTCGGTGTGTATTATCGAGTACCAATGCTGTGTCGCTCCATGCGCTCTATCATCTACCTCATCGTCCGCCTTTTGAGGAGTAAACTGTAAACTGCTATGCACAATGCCGCCCAGAACGCAATTGGAAAGAATGTAATGACGCGCAGGATTGACGGCCTAAAGTGTGAGGGAATATGGCCCCGCAGCGGGGATGAGAAGAGGAAGGTACAGTTAAGGAAATTCGTGAGTCGTGAATGCATGTCCAAGCACCCGTTCCGGCGGCCGACCAGGCCAGTCCTTTGCGCCCAACTCCAATGCCAAGCCCTGTCTAGCTCTTGATACCAACTCCAGTCCAAGCAAATGTGATGCGACGCTACTCGTCATCGTCAACAAAGAAACCCCAGAAGAGCACTTCCTCGTTCTCCCGGCCCCGCAGACAGCCGCCGTAGACGTCCGCGCACATCTCGATGGGCACCTCGAGCTTGATGCAGCCGTTGCCGAGGAAGGTGAAGAGCAGCCACGAGTCGTATTCGGGAAAGGTGCCGTCGTCATCAAACTTCCGGCTGCGTATGCCGCGGTTCTGTAACGAGGGCGTGGTGGGCAGGCGGAACGTGTGGTAGGGCAGCGTCTCCTCCGAGTCGGCGACGAAGAAGGCGTCGTTGAGGGCGAGTTCGACGGTGACGTGGGGCGGCGAGGGGGTCTCGGGCAGACTCAGCGTGTCTTTGTGGAAGCGCAGGGTGCCGAAGCGCAGCTCCGTGGGCTGGCCGAGGAGGTCGAAGAGCTCGGTGGAGTAGAGGCGGAAGTAGCCATTGTGCAGGCTGCCCAGGTCGCTCTCGTCGTCGACAGCGCGGCCGCTGAGCGAGAGGCTCTGCAGCTGGTCCTCGACGCGCTTGCCCTCGAGTTCGGCAGCGTCGAGCGACCGGCGGATGTACTTGGGGGTGTACTGGTTGCTGAGGTCCGAGATGGCCAGCCGGCAGGCCTCGCGGCGGATCTCGTCGCGCCGGGCGGTGCTCTTGGGCGTGGTCACGTCGTCGGCGGCGGGGTCCTCGAGCGAGCGCAGCAGCCCCGTCTCGAAGCCCTGGACGAGCTCCTCGAACTCGCGCATCACCCGGGCGAGGGGAGACGAGGCGAGATGGGCGGGTTTGGCGTCGCGGGCGACTGCAGTGCTCTCCAGTACGGCCATTGGAGGCGTGCGCGGCCAGGACGTGGCTGCGGCGCAGGGTGGTGCGTGTTAGTAGGCGGCAGTTGCTGGACGCGGTGGACGCGGCGGACGAGGCTCCTGGGGGCGGAGAGGGGTGTGCAGCTCCGGCTGGCACAGCAGTCGAGGCAATTGCGGTCGGCCGTGTCGTGGTGGGCGTCGGGGGATCGGCCGTTAGTCGTGAGGGAAAGGCGCAAAACAACAACAACAGGACAGTGTCGCAGCAGACGGGCTAGTGCATCAGGAGACAAAGAAGGTCGGGACCTCGAGGGAGGGACCGAAGTTTTGCTCGCGGCTCCAAAGCTGCCAAGAGTGCTGGGTAGATGCTTCCCTCTTCCAGCCCACCGGCTAGCGCGACTGCATCCAATAGGTCAGGCCTGGCCCTCCACGGCGATGCGCTGCGAAGGGGCTTCAGCGTGCGACGGCCCAAGACTGCACGCTGCCCCAGCGGTTAACCGTCGCCTATGCCCCATGGCGAGCGCTAACTCTTGCTTCTGCTCAACAGTCGCTGTGCGCGCGCCGCTTGTAGCAGACTGACCCAGCCCAGTCGCTCGCTCGACTTGATGCAACCTGCGAACCGCCTGGTTGGTACCCAATCAGACGCGACTGACCCGGACCTGTTATAAAGACTGGGGCGGCACTGAACGGCCCGAACATTCGAGACAACCGCTCAGCACTCACCAGCATGACCGCCCGCCTCATACAGAGAAAAGACTAGACGGATCGTGCAGCCTACTCCAGATCTCATCAAGGGAAGAACATGCAACGTATTGATCCAACGTCAAAGTAGGCTCTGGGGTAGTTAATCATCTCATAGCATGCTAGATTGCAGTGAGCCTAGCCTACGACTAGCATAACACGACTACTGTAGGCTTGGCTTCGGCATGCCGATCTCTCACCCCACGCGGCTTCCCTGCCGCTGCCCTCACTCTTACTGTTGATTGTTGATGGTTCCTCATCCGGCCTGGCGCGCCTGCCACAGTCGCATCGCCACTTCCTCGACCACTCCTCGCCCACTCCTCGCCCTCTTCCCAGCCCAGCCTTCTTCGTCAGCAATCTATCCTCTGACCATCTCGTATTGATGACTGGTCATGGGCGCTCGTCGGCCTGCTTTCCTCGCGCGAACCATCACCATGTCTGCTCTCCTCACACCCCGTAATTGCACCAGGGAGCCCAGTCCACGCTCTCGGCTTTACACACGCCTGTCGGCACTTTGTACCTGCCTCGACGTCTTATGCGACCTCAGATGATGTACATGTGCAACCACGCTGCGACCTGGAACCCCCGCAATTCGCCATTTGCCGTCACTACGTCACTGCTGACCGTTCCCACCGAACCCGTACAGACATCCAGCGTAGTCATAGCGGTGAGACATTTGCCCGCATCCCGCGCCTGATTACACCTCCTCGACATACACCTGCTCACCTGCCTGCACATCAATGCTTCATCCTTCGCGGAGCATCGACGCCGATCCAACATCGCCGCTTACCGTCAGATGGGGGCTCCAGACCGAGAAATCAGCCCACCTCCCTGGCTCCAGTCGTTCCTCCCCGCCTCTCCGGGCCTGCCTCGGCTTCTTACGTGATACTCCGGCCTACCAGGGTGCATGCCTAGACCGATGTGTCCGACGACACCAGGCAGGGCTGTCCGTGAGAAGTGCCTGAGGCTGCAGTGAGGCATACAATCTGGCCTTGCTAAGATCATGAAGTCGATGTTCGTTCCACGGAAAACTGTCATGGAGGGCAGGTGAAGTGCTACACCGCTTACGGTGTCTGGTTTTGTTTCATTTGGAGAACAGTACGTCTCGCATGCTGGTATCGATGTCAAAATTCTCCTTTCACACATCGTTCGTTGATCCATGATGTCAAATCGAAAACTTTGCCGATCTGTTCATTGTTTCGCAGCACATGCAGCACTCTACAAAATACTGGGCTCTCACAATCATCTCTCCCTTGATCACAGGTAGCTTGGTAGCGTGTGCGGTCGTGGGCCATGGCCAACCTTAGCAATGCAAGGTCGTTGTGGCATTTGTCTCATCCTTCGTCGCTTCCACACTGCTCGCGACTCCAAGCGTCGAGGGAGAGGCGGAGGAACTCTGGTGGACCAGCGAGCAGGAACCAAGGTGAAGCAAGCCTACCCATCTCCCAACACCATCATCCTTCGTTCTGCACACCAATATCATCCACAAAGCTATCGTCAACGAGCCCATCTTTATCAAAATCTTAACATGCAATCAGTCTACGGTTTTATCAGGTATACATCTCGCTCACCTGTTCCTCAAACCGCCAGTATGCCTTCAGCCAACGGTTCCGTTGCGCCCACACCGCGTTCACCTCCAATCGTCTCGTCCCCAACCTTCGCCGGCCCGTCAAATTTCTCATCCAATCATAAAGGCAAAGGAAAGGCCCCTATGACCAACGACACCAGCAATGGTACCAGCAATGACAACACCAACGGCAACAGTATTTGCAACAGCAAAGTCTACACTGCAAGCCACGGCAGCAGCAATGGCGACAGCAATGACAACAGCAATGACAACAGCAATGACAACAGCAATGACAACAGCAATGACAACAGCAATGACAACAGCAATGACAACAGCAATGACAACAACAATGACAACAGCAACGGCAGTAGCAACGGCAGTAGCAACGGCAGTAGCAACGGCAGTAGCAACGGCAACAGCAAAGGCAACAGCAATGACTACACTCCAAGCTACGGTATCGGAAACTTGACGGAATACCTCATCGACGTCAAGACGCTCACCAAGCTCTGCGACCTCGGCGTATCAGAAGCCGCTCAGCTCGGAGCCTTTCTCACCGAGCGCTACAAATCCCTGAACGAAAAGCAAACCCGCCGCATGGCAGCCGCCGAAAAGATCATTGACGAAGTCGAGACAATGAAAGAAGGGCACAAAGTTTTCGACAACAACGTCGTCAACCACTACGATCACTTCGTCAGTGAACTGCAGGAAGCTGAGACCGCCATGTACGACGGAATCAAGGTAGCCATGTATACAGATGCCGCGAAGAGCGCAAAGCTGGCCCGAGAGAACTCCGAGCTCGCCAGGAATTTGCACAAAAAGATCGAAGGGTTGGATGGTGAGTATAAGGCCAAGAAAGACGAGATTGTGGCTGCGAGGGATGAGATGATTGATATCCTTTACGGTGCTGTTATGCGGTGCATCTTGGTGGGTTCTGGTGCTGGCGTGGGTGAGAATGATAAGGGTAAGTTGTTGAGTTTGTTCAAGCGCTGAAGACACTGGGTTGGGCTGAGTGTTTTTGCGAGGCTTATTTGGTATGGCAGTTTGAATATACACTGCCAATTGTTTCGCTGGCTTACGGCCGGATACGGGCACAACCCAGGAATGCAGTGATTAGTTCCATAAAGCCAAACTTTTATAACTCGTGGTAAGGTATCGAAGAGAAGCATGCCGCTGTTTACATAGGCTTCTGCGACGATACACTGGAGTCGCCTACCTAGACTTGTTGCGATGCGTCCATCTTCCTTGCCAGATCGCCCGGGGGCGTCACAACATTTGCGCTTCACTTCAATCAGGCCCGCGGGCACTCAAGCGCTATCGCGGATGATCAGGCTGCGCTAAGCTAATCAGGCCGAGTTCTGCTGCCTTCCTAAGCCACCACCATGCTGCCCCTCCACCAAGGCTCCGCCACGATTAGCAAAAGCAAAACTCGTCATGTCCTGCTA